TTCTTTGCCTTACTTTGCCTTTCCTTATTGACTTATATCGTCAGTCAAGCATCTTCAAGCTGGAGCAGTGGAGCATGCGTGACGAAGATTTGTATCTTCAAGTTTCTGCCGGGTTATGGTCCGTGACACTAAAGATCTGCTTCATTTTGCAAAAGGTCATACATCGTCTAAACATTGTTATTATCTATGCAATTGTTCATTTAAATAGTTTTGGTACAGTTTCAGTTCTATAGTTGTATTTATGTGTGCGGACATTTTGGCCGTGTACGTCGTCACGAATATTTGTCGCTGAAGTTCAGTATTGCCCAAAAAAGTTCGCCTAAAAACTGATCAGTGACGCATTCCCAAATTTGTATAATGCCGTAGAGTTGTGACATACTTAAATACCTTGAAAGCGTCTGAAAGCAATGAGCCGATCTAGGTAGGTGATGTACAGGAAAAATATACGTAAAAGCAAATGCTATGCAAATCGCCTTACTTTCGACCAAATCGACATAAGTGGTTCAGACACTATCAACCCTTTCAGCCTGTCATTCGTGGAAATGGAGCCACGTTTTTTCTCACCATTGTGGCCTTAGTATTAACGCTGGATCCGCTGGTATGCGAGAGTTGGCAATGAGAAGCTAGCAGAAGCTAAGACAGCCTTTCTTTGGCTTACGGCAAAGCTGTATGAATAAAATACTCAGCGATTGCAGACTCCAACACAAATCCACGCCACCGTCCATTTTAATCACAGAGGTTTTGCAATGAAATCTTTCCATCACGCTATACATCCTATAGAAAACAGGTTGACTCTTAAATCGAATTGCAAAGTAATCCGGATGACGAAATATGAATGGTGTTGAAAAACAGATAGAGGAAACATTTTCTCTGCCTTCTATGTGGTCTTCAGTGTAACCATCGGCTTAATAACGCTTCCCAAACTTGATATGCCATATCATAATCCTTCAGAACGAAGATTGACATTTTTATAGTGTTGTTTGGCCAACTCTGCACGTTGCTTATTTCAGTTCCTTTTTGTGGTGGATGATTTTGATAAGATTATTTTAAATTATGTTCTACCATTATATAATCCAAATTTTCTATGACTTTCCAGTGATCAATTTTCTAGGGTTACTTACGACACCTCAGCTACATTATTTGGTGTTCCGTTACAACAATGGCACACCAATCGTGACAGAACAAAGTTATTACGAAAATCTTGTCGATGCGTTCGTTCGACTCAACATATCGAACGCCCAAGCTCATTATGTTCCGAAGGTTCACTTGGACTGTGCCAACGGCGTAGGAGGCCAGAAGCTGCGATGGCTTACAAATGCGTTGGAGAAATCTGGGACCGGTTTGACGATTGTGCCAGTGAACACGGAGCTGACCTGTTTGAACCTGAAGGTTATATTAATAATTTTTATACGTTTGTCGTGAAAGTTCGTTTATGTTTAGTTAATTTAATAATCGAATTATAAAGACAATATTGCAGCAGTTTATTGTCATGAAGGCGTGCCTGAAAGTCATTTCAGTGAACAGACAGACCTTAATTTGCGTACATTCGACTTGTAAATTATCCTGAAAGGGCTATGGAAAACATTTCGTATTATAAAAATTCACTTGTTACCCGCAAGCTGAAACGTCGGAATAAAAGAGAAAATAGAATTTATTGGTCGCCGTTTAATTATCCCTTAGGCGGATAGAAGCAAAAGAGCGGTGCCTTACAACTGTAGATTCGATAATAAAAGAAAAATGTTATTTTTCTTAACGTCTATATCTAAAACTAGCAGTGTTCTAGTAAACTGACAAGATCGGGGTTTATTTATTGCATAAATATGCTTACGGATGGCATATCGGCTGGTATCCGACGAGGCTTCTGTTCGGTCCCACCTAGTGTTGGTTTTGCACTCATACACTGCAAGTGTTCAAATACTATGGAGCCGTAACGTATTTAGATGAGCCCTTATGCCATTAGAAGCAAAAGGACGGTGCCTCTACGCCATGTAAATCCGGAAGTAAAAAAAATGTTATCAATTGATATTTTAGTGTGGTGCGGACTACGCAAAGATCGAGCAGAAATTCCCAGAGAGTAAGTTTTTTACAAGCGTTATTTATATTTATGGTTTGGGATGCTCATTGGCTCAGTGCTCATTTGACTCAGAACCGAAAGGTCTCATTTTTGGCATTGGCTAGATCACTAGCCTTTCTTCCTTGTAACGTGGATAAATGGGTACCTCTCTGTATGAAGCAAACAGGAGATTACGCATTTGCTTGTCACATAATCGCTGTTGTCTCTGTCTTTAAAATAAGCTTCTCCCTTAAAACTAACTTCCGACATTCCAACGATTAGAAGCTTCTTTTTCCTTCCTAACATTATTTACTGTTGATGCTGTTAATTTGTAACATTTACTCCTATGTTGAATTGCCTTTGTACCAACTGTTCGGTGTCTTCTTTTTAGTTTACACACGTTATGTAGTTGCAAATGAACTAGAGAAATGGGCATCGCTCGATGGGGACGCTGACAGACTGGTCTATTATTATCTCGATTTAAGTAAGTTGATAGACATCAGTACATGATGGCTATTTTTCGTTTTCATCTTCATTCCTCCTTACTTTTTTCGCTGTCTGTATGCTAGTAGCGTGTTGGCACAGTGCTAAAGAGATCAGCTTCGAACTTTGGACAAGCAGGGCTCTATTCCGGCGGAGGGCAATTAACTATGAATTCCCTTGAGTAAGAAATTTGCCATTCATTGCTTCAGTTAGGGGTTACTCAGTCGGTAACGCGCCAGACTCAGCACCGAGAGGTCCCGAGTTTGAACTTCGGTCAGGGTCGCTCGCCTTTCTTACTTCCTAGGTTGATAATTGAATACTATTCTCTGGTAAAGAAACAGAAGACTACATGTTGCGCTAATCACATAGATATTGTTGACTCTGCCTTTAAATTGTGGCATCCGTGATTGACAGCATGGAAATGGGGATCAGCCTCACCATTCATTGGATGAGAAGAAAAGACGTCTGAAATGGACCCGTCATATAAATGTAAGGAAGACTGGCATTCCAGCGGTTGCAAACTTTCCTTTCCTTCCTTCCCTCCTTTCTTTGTAATTGGGTTGCTCTTGTTCGCTTTCCGTTTCTCTTCACAGCTAGTCTTCGACTTAACGATGGGGTTACGTTCCGATAATCACATCGTAAGACGAAAATATCGGAAATGGGGAACGACTTTTGTATAGGGTATAGACGAAGACAGTGTAATGTATGACATAGTTATATTGTAATGTATGAGGTTATAGCATAGTGTACTGCATAGTTTTGTGTTTAATTTAATTTAAATTTAATTTAATTTGACAAACTCCATACCCTGTAATACAGTAAATATTATAGAGTACTTGTCCTATAGTGCGCTGTAGAGGTAATTAATAAACCTTTGAAACTGTATTACAGTACAGTACATAAATTTGCAATGTGTTTTGCAGCAATAAATTTTAGTATAATTTAATGCACTGTGAATCAATAATATTGTAAATGGCAGATCTCCTCTTCGATATTACGGTGAATTCCTCAATGCAATACCTTTGATAGCTTCCATGACCCGCTTTTGTCTTTGAGAATCGTTGATACGTTAACTGGAATAACTGAAAATCACGCGTTATGGCCATGACTGGTTTCCCTCTTTCCCAATGGCTCACAATCTTCATTTTATCTTGCAAGATAACAGCTTTCCTCTTCTTCTTCTTCTCACTACCATTAGGAAAAACATTAGCGCATTTGGGGACTATTCTTATAGAAAAAAGCACAATTTTAATTACAAAATAAGACAAAGGGTAGATATTTCCTAAATCGCTCTCTCACTAACGATTACGTTGCTGGAGACGCAGAAAAGTGATGCGATGCTACCGGCAGCAGCCTTCTAAGAGTACCCAAATTATCGTAGAGCATTCGCTTACGCTCAGCTGTTCTTCTTCTTGTGAAACTGGAAATATATTTCGAATTTTGTTGCATCGTAATCAGCATCGTAAGATCGAAAAATCGTAAGTCGAATGATCGTAACTCAGGAACTATCTGTACCTTTTTATTGTTTTCCTCAGGCACTCTTCTTTTTTACTTCGTTACACCGTGTCTACAGTTTCCTGAAGAAACAACAGCCACATGCGTTACTAGCCTTTGCGTAGCTGGTCGAATAGATGTTTATGCTGTATGCAACTTGGTTTTTGCTATACCTGATGGTTTAGTTTACTGTTCCAACGAGATGGAGAATATGGACTTTTCGCTCAACCATACAGTTATATGTGAAATATTATCAATTTGTTAAATATCAGTATAAATTGAAAAACTAAATAATGAACATCAGTTCTAATAAATAACGGTCAATCCAAAATCGTGCGGGTTGAGCCCGTTGACCTCTCCTTGAAAGAGGCAATGATCGTTCTTCGTTAATTCCATATTCAGTACACTTTAGTAGTCGCTTTTCTTGACACCATTACCAATTATTTAATGAGGCAGTAGTTGGCTCAGTGTGAAGGTGATCATTTAATATTGAATCCTCTTTTATGGGCTTAGCACACTCGGAAGTGATATCCGTTTTCTCAGCTGTTGCGTATGAGAGTTTCAATCGAGAAATTGCCGCATATGAATAGCTGTACTCCCTGAAAATAGTGCATTTTGATTGGTAGGTTACAATTTGCACTGAATTAGTCAAACATGGGGTTCATCAAAACGCATTGCGGTCGTAAAATACGTGCGTCTAAGAGCGTGGCCAAAAATCTTACAAGCTCTTGATCTAATAAACGGACTTCCACAGTAAAAGGATTTACTTTGACACTTCAGACGATGTTCGAATGGGGCCGAACATCCTCGGCAATAACACTCATTCATTAAATGACATATCTCACAGTGCCTGTCAGGAACCTAATCCACCTCTACCGTGAGTGTCCATATGTTTGCCAAGACAGAGTTGTACAGAAGTCTATAATACCGGCTTTGGCGCACATTCAATAAAATTCCGGTTAAACATTGCTTGTCCTAGCTCATTGTTCTTTTTCTCCTTATCTTCACTACGTTTTGTGTCAGTTGTGTTTGCGTTCTGTCAATGGTTTATGTTTGTCGATTTTTCATCTTAATTTATTTGTTCACTTATTTACTGAAGTTTTTAGTGAAACTGTGAGGGTCGAAGTT